ACTCCTCAGGCCCACAGCTCACTCTGTGCTATTGCTCATGCTTATGCATAGGGCTAAGTCTGAGTGTTAATCTTTGAGATCCCAAAAGAATAAAAGAGGAAAACATGATGAAAATAGGAACCATGGGACTCTAGAGTCAAGAGGCAAACCCAGGAGTAGAGGACAGGGTGCATTAAGGGACATATTCCCCTCCTGGACCAGCATTGTTCTTGGTCCTAGTTCTCATCAAGGATTGTGAACATGACAAGACTGAACTGACAGAACTGCATTTCTAACATCATGTGCCTCTTCTGATTTTCTTTCTTTCTCCTCTTTTGGATTTTGTGTTGAAGTCTTTTTAAAAGTATTTTCCTTTTATAAAATTCTTGGACATATATTTACTGTGTCCTCAGCATATTCCCTGAGCACCGGTCCCTGAGTGTGTGTGGGGGCGGGGCAGAGCCTGTTTTCTAAGATAGGATCTCATTCATAACCCTTCTACTTCAGCTGCACTGGACATGTACTGCTATGCACAGGAAAAACTTGCTGTGTGTGTGCATGGACACTCCAAAACTTTTTACCTGCCCATACCTTGTTTCCTGAAACATGATTCTAGATTCAGGTACCACCGAATTAAAAGCAAAGCTGTGTATAGATGATTCTGTTAAGTCCTTTTTCTTGTATGATGTGAAACACATCAAAAATGTAGGAAGGAAGTATCAGGGAAATTATGCCATTTGTTACTATTTCTCTTCTTCAAGGACTTAGTGAACTGGGCAGAGTACTCTCACCTGTCACCCAGTACTCAGGAAGCTGAGTCAGGGGGATTACACTAAATTCAAGGACAGCCTGGACTGCAGAATGAGACCCTCCCTCAAAAGACACATATACATACCTGTCTTCTCTGCCACACACACACACACACACACATCCACAAAAGAGCTCTCCTCCAACCCTACTTACTGTATTCATAAGGAAATAATATTTCCAGTCTGTGTGTTATAATTCCTCCCTCAATATGTTTAGAAACTATTCCTGGAAAAATGCAAACAAATTAACTCTAAAAATAAATGGGATCAAATTTAGTTTGATAAAAATTAGTTAGGTGCCTTTGGAAAACACCACAGCTCAGAAGAGTGAAGTAAGTCATCTAAAAACAAAAAACTAAAAACTAAAAACAAAAATACAGTTTGGTTGGTAGAGGGTCTGAGTCTGTCTAGCTTGCAGGAAGTCCTGGGTTCTTCGTCTAGCATTGCATAAACTGGGTGTGGTAGCACTCACCGGGAATCTTGGAACTTCATCAATCAAGGCAAAGTCATAAGTTCAACCTCACCTTCAGGTAGTTTGATACCCTGCCTCATAAACAAAATTTTAGAGCCAGGTGTGATGGCATATGCCTCAGATTCAGAATAAGTTTGTTGCCAGCTTGGGCTATACAAGATCCTGTCTTAATAAAATAAAATAAAATAGTTATATAAAAAGAATAACACCATTTCACAGAAACTACAAAAGCTCATTGTAAATACTTACCATATATATTATAACAGTTTTTAGCTAGAGATTAGTTACTGAACCAAGGGGAGGAGAACTCACAGCAATGCCCCTGTCTAAGCCTCCCGAGTACTAGGATTATAGATGTGCCCCCAGCTGCTGAGCCAGTGACTGTTAAGAAGCCTTTTGGGTATTCTGTATATAGAATGCTTTAAAATGGACCACTCTAGCACTATAGCCTGACTTCCCATGAAACATGGGATTGCTACCACTGAGAATCACTGGGTCACCCAGTCCTTGTTTTGTACCATTACCCAGGAGCACGCACCATTTGTCTGAAGTCTTCCTTTCCCAGCAGCTCCAAACAGATGCATAAAAGCGAGCAATCTTAGTGATGGAGGGAGCATAGGTACAATGGGTCTGAAGTCTAAGAAAAGTGCAGTTTGGGAAGTACTGAAAAGATGTGCACTGGTCAGTTTCTTAACACAAGCAGTGTCCAGAGCAGAGCTCAGCATAATTTCAAAAGGACAAAAATGATCTTTAGAAGCAAACTTTTTACATTGGGGGGACATAGGCATCCTGGATATTACAGATGAAGTGAACATATTACTCAAGAGAATCTAGTATGTAATAAGCACAGACACATGAATTCAAAACTTACACTTAAGCTTCTAAATCCCTAATAATATTACAAAACTTGGTATCAGAAGTTTTAGGTTTTTAAGACACTCTCACATAACCCAATTTGGCCTCCAATTTGTCACTTGGTCAAAGCTGGTCTCAAATTCTTTATCCTCTTGCCTCAGGCTCTCATTTACTGGGATTGTGAGCATGAGCCACCCTGCTCCAATTCTTGTAATTAAAGAGTTTTCAAGGCCCAAACTCAAGATACCAGTTTTGTGTGGCAAGCACCTTTACTTCTCAAGCTGTCTCGACATTCCTGGATAATGGTCTGTGATGTTAATAATACTGAATGTTGGGGATACTGTGTAATGTCATTTTTTTCTTTTAGCTTTCATGATATTTAGGACTAACCTAATTTTTACACAAAACATCAAGTAGTTCTAGATGCCTCTCACTTCTTTTGAACAAGACTACTTTTTTAAAAAATACGTAGTCTCATATATCCTAGGATGTCTTCAAACTCAGTATATAACTGAACAGCTTCCTGTTTCTCCTTCCTGGGATTACTACCACACCCACATGAGGCTTATGTGTTACTGGGGATGGAACCCATAGCTTTCTGCTTTCTGCATGCTAGACTAGCTCTCTACCAACAGAGCTACATATATATATATATATATATATATATATATATTCAATCGCTGAGGGTTTTTCTCATCTCACTCCTTACAGCATATTCATTTAAAATCCGATATCATGGGAGAATACAACCACAGATTCCTAGATTCCTTCTCTGTCTTTGCATCTTGACTAGAACTGGGACTTTCAAACATCTACACAGCCCAGCTTTCTCCAGATGAGATCCACTGTCTGGTGGCACTAGAAGAAGGCACGTCCACAGGATGCTGTGCTCAGAGATGGACAAAAGGATTGATCTCCTGTCACCAAGGAGCTCTCATCTGCTCCATTTTGTGAGTCACCCTGTACTTGGAGATAAGTTCAAAAGTACGGTTTTATCATCCAGTGAAGCAAAAATGGTCACACTTTTCCATTATTCCCGAGTCAGTAATGAACGCTGGAGGAAGTGAGTGAAGCATGAAGTCACCCCTTCCGCCTCGGCAGACAGATGGATAGAGACATTCTCATTTGTTTCCAGCCCTTTGTCTTCCGAGCACTTTTGGCATTTCCTTCAGGATGCTGGAGGTTATGACCTAAGGTTTCCTTAGTGAACACACTCTGTTTCCCACAGTTAACCTCACCCAGAAATGACATCTACTCTAGTAGGTGAGGTTTATCTTCATGTCCCAACTGTGTCCTGTCCTGTACATAGTCAATGACACTTGGAAACACAAATTCTGAAAAGCAACAATAGGCTGAAAAGCCAAACACACCAAAGCACTCCCAGTTAATCTCCACTAAAGATGACAATAACTCCAAGAGTTAACTGTTGTATAATTTTGTGTTGTATGCTTTCATTTTACAGTTACTTTCATTTTAGTGGGAATAGTTAAATGAGGAAATTTTTAAAAAGGTATGTGTGTAAGGGGGTGATCACCCACCCTATATTCTATTGTTACAATTGAATTGCATAGTCCAATATTGTTCTCATAAGAACTCAAGATAGTGTCCTAGAAAACAGGATGACTTGGACGTTGGACATAAAAGTCAGCTGACAGAGTATTTGTCTAACATGTAAAAGAACCAGTACTTAATCCCTAGCAAAGCATAAACCTGGGCTAGGCACTGAGGAAGAGGTGAAAGCCAAAGGATTAAAAGTTGACATTCATCCTCAGAGTGAGCAGGAGACAAGCATGGAACCCACTAGACCTTGACTCAAGAATAGAGAAACTAAAAAAGTACAAAAGTACTGAGTTACATAATATTATTTCCTGTTAACCACATTTTCTCTTCTCTAGCATATTGCTAAAAGACCAAGAAAATATGCTTTTGAGGTTGGGTTTGAACTTGCCATCTTAATCACAACTTAAAATAGATTGAGGAATTTATTGTTGTGCTTTAGAAGACTATATTTTAGAGTGGAATTATCATACTTCATTTTGTCTAGCCTCAATGCACTTTGAAATCCAAATAGTTACATTTATTTGCTGTGGTCTTTAGAAGGTTGGTGGTTTTTCTCTTATTCTCTTCATGTCTTTAATGTTAGTTTGTTGAAGTTTCTCTTCCTGAAAAAGCTAGAGTGGTTTCTAAACAAATCACATTTTCCATGCCTTAACTTATCAAGGTAAAGACTTTTAGAGAGTACTACAAATTTGCTCTTAACTTTACCTCCAAAGAACCACATAGTCAACAGATATCTCAGTGAATGATTTTTTTTAAAAAAGTTCTCTTCACAAAAGGATCTTTAAAAAAAATCAGTTTATTAATGTTTAAAAGTTGATAAAGCTATGTGCAAAATGATCCACAAAAGTCAGAAACCTATTAAATACTATTTTTTTAAAAAAGACATTTCTCTGTTTAATTGCACTGAAATCCATACTAAAGAGACAGTAATATATTTTTATTCTCTGTAACATTTACACCCTCCATCAATATCTAATGACAGCCAAAATGAAGAATTCCTGATGTCCTCTGTCAGTTAAAGTAATGCTTTTCGGGTACAAAAGGGTGACACTTTCTTAAGGACTACACATTCAATGGTGTTAACACAGGTTAGGAAAAAAACTCAGTAAAATGACCTCAAAGAAGCAAATACATTCAAAAATCATAAATTGAATTTTAAACATGATATAACCATCCCCCATTGTTTGAAATGGATCACACAACACTCTGAAATAATCAATGAAAGTGCCAAAGACATTGTATTTGTTAGAGGAAAGACATCAAGAAGTCACTCTTGGTTTCCAAAAGTTAACACTGTTGTTCTCCTTATTCTGCTGTTTTACTCCTTTTTCTTCTATAGTCCTGGAACACACCTAAGATTATGGCTGGTAGAATTCAGATAAAGTAGACTTCGTTATTCCCATTACAAACACATATCCATGATGGTTGTAACAGGAATAAGGAATGCATGAGGAGTAAGGAACACATCTTAGATCACGTCTGATATAGCTGAAATAAAGTAGACTTTGTTATCCACATTACTAACACATATCCATTGTGGTTGTAATGGGAATAAGGAATTTGTGAGGAATAAAGAAAACATTTTGAAATTAAAGATGGCCTAGCAAATCACCAACAACTTGACCCATCTTACATGGAAACTTTGGCCTCAGCAAATAGCCTTCCGAGTTAACAGCCTGCCAGTTTCAGGCAATCAAGGAATAGAGCCCCGTATAACCTCCTTCTGACCAACAGACAGTTAAGATATAAAAGAAAAGAATATGGAGAAGTAGTGGGAAGCGGAGAGAGGATGAGAAGGGGAGGGAGAGTGGGACATGCGTACCACCCTACCAAGTTAAAGGATACATACTCACTTTGCCTTTACGGTGAAAGATCACATCGCAAGACTCCAGGGACACTTTCTCATGGGACCTTAGTCTTTGAGAAGGGGTCAGATGATCCCTTCAGGAGCTTGACAATGCTAGACCTTTGGCTCAGTGCAAAATCAAAGCTCCAGGGTGTGGGGGAGGGCAGGAAACCCACTGGAGGCCAGACCTTATCTCCACCCTTCCCAGTGCATTGTTCACAAGAACTACCTACTTACATCATGGCATCACCAGGCCACACATTCTCCCTTCCCTCCCTCTCTCGGGCTCCCAATAGCTCCTTCCAGACAGCAGTGGGGGAATGAGAGCCATTTTTTAAACTCTGGGGTAGTAGGTGACCAAGTCTGAATGCTTCCCCAGTATCAACAGCTTCTGGTTTTAGGAGGAAGAGTTGACATTTCCAGAGGACATAATGGTCTCTGGGTTGTCCCCATCATCCTTCTGCGGGTGGGAGGAGTTGTCTGATTTGCTGCGACTAAATTCCATGCCTGGGATGATGGGCCGCTTGAATTTGCCAGTGGAGTCTCCATTGGGGCATTTGCAACAGGATATGATCCGGATGAAGGCCCTGCGCATCTCCTTGTTGGTTAGAGTGTAAATGATGGGGTTGGTACCTGAGTTCAGCACAGCCAGGACCAGGAAGTACTCTGCTTTGTACAGGATGTTGCATGTCTTCGCCTTGCAGCCCACATCCAGCAACAGTAGGATGAAGAGAGGGGCCCAGCAAGCAATGAAGACACTCAGGACAATGATGACAGTCTTCAGCAAGGCCAGAGACTTCTCAGAACTGCGGCTGGCCTTGGAGATGTTCTTTCGGAAGGTCAGGCGGCGGCTTCGAGTCCTGACCAAGGAGTAGATCCTACAGTAGAGGATGACGATGGAGAGCAGGAGCAGAGTGAAGACAGTGGTACAGAAGAGAATATAGTGCTTGTGGTAGAGTGGGAGTACGGTCGAACAGCTGGACAGTGAGCTGATGCAGTTCCAGCCCATGATGGGCAGGCCACCCAGGATGAGGGAGATGACCCAGCAGGCACTGATCAGCAGGAAGGAGCGCGAGCTGTTGCTCCCATTATGTAGTTTCATCTTCAGCATGGTGATGTAGCGCTCGATGGCAATGGCAAGGAGGCTGAACACCGAGGCAGACAGAGCCACAAACATACTCCCTTCCCGCACAAACCACTGAGCGGGGGTGAGCTTGTAGGTGGTGGCCCCAGACAACAGCAGGTTAGCTGTGTAAGCCACTCCTGCGAACAGGTCCGAGAGGGCCAGGTTGCCGATGAAATAGTACATGGGCCGATGGAACTTCTTGGTTTTCCAAATAGTTAGCAAGACAAATATATTCTCTAGGATGATGAAGCAGCAGATGAGAATGAAGACCACTGAAGTCAGCTTAATGCCATGGTCCTTCTCCACCCCGATGTTCAACTTGCCTGTGTAGTTATAATGCCGTACTATGATATCATAGTTACCATAATCGGAGACTGAGCTACGGAGGGCCTTAACCACCGGGACGCTGGTGGATACCATAGCCGCAGTGTGTCCCCAGGAGCCCGGGGGTGGTACTTCTCCAGACGAACGCTAGAGGGCGAGGTTGAGCGGTCCTTCAGTTATAGCAGGGCCGGGTCAGTGAGCAATACCAAGCTTTTTGTGTAGCTTTTCCTTGGCTGGAGAGGGCCTCCAAAACGGCAGCCTTAAAGTTACAAAGAAAAGAAAATCAGGGAAAAGGCCCACCACACTAGCAGAATTCATTCTGGCCAAGGGACTGATCCAGTTTTAAGTAAACTTGGCCAGAGCATAGGGAGTATTTTTTTAACTCAAATTATCATTTCTAGTAACAAAACAAGAATAAAAAACGAGAGAGAGAGAGAGATTGCCTAGAATGAAAACTCTGACTAAGAGCCCAACCTCGCTCTTGTCACTAAATCCACCAAAGTAAAAATGGAAAACAGCACCCCATTCTAGTTTTCTACCCCTCACCATACTCCCCCGACCCCCACCCCACCTGCAGCTTCCAACCCTGACATTCCTGTACCTGGTCTCCAGCTCCAGCACTTGGTCACCACCAGCCCAAGGGCCTCTTCTCACAGAAGGCCCCAACTGTCAAATCTCAGAGCAGTGTTGACATCTACACACCTGCCCCCACACACCACACACACATACACCATACACACACACACACACCACATATACCACACACACGCGCACACACACACAGCTTATAGAGACCAGCCCACCTCCTAATTACCATGCAAGAAAGTAGATTTGTAGGAAGATCATTTGACAACGTAAGTCGTCTTCTGGGCTCTATTAATAACTCCCTAGGAGCAGGTGTGTTGAGGGTCGGTCAGGGCGGAGGGCACAGGGAGGTGTGGGCCACCAGGCCTGCCGTAAACAGGAAAGCTAGGCGCCTCCGTGAAGCAACTGCCTAGTCTTTCTTCTTAATTTTTTTTTCTTGCTTTACTCCTCCTCCCCACCCAACCCCCCACAAGTAAACTTATTAAGTTTAATGGTATTCGTAGAGAGCCCCTCCTACGAGATTTCAACAAATCCCATAAGTTTCTCCACGAACTGGTTGCCTGTTTTGACTTCAGCTAAGGCAAGCATGCACAGAGAAGTCACTCTGCTAGGGATAAGTTTCTTCTAACTTCAGGTACATGACTTTCCAGAGGCACACACTGTTAAATGTTCATGGGCAATTTTAGTCAATGTTATTAATGCCCGTCCTCTCCCCACACCCCCAACATTGCCTTCTCTGGCATAACTAGTAACACCTAGAGGAAGGACACACAACACTGATTAAGTACTTCGCAGACTGCCTGGTAGTGGATCAACGTTATAAAAATGAAGTTAAACAAGCAAACAAACAAACAAACTAGAACCATTGAAGTCATTTCTATGACAGAAAATTTCAGGAAACCCCACATCTCCCCCACCCTAGTCGGACAGTCCACTCTCATTCAATGGCAGTCACTGCCGTGGTGCCTGATAATTCTCTCTGTAGAATTTCCAGAGATAAGCGTCTCCCCTTAAATGAATCACAGCTTCTCCTTCCCTTCATTCCCCCCCTCCCCAGCTGTTTCTACAAATTGAGTATTAATCCATTCTGAACTTCGTTACCTCCGTGCCTCAAGAAGAAGCCAATTAAGAGGGCTCCAGAGTAACCTAGTAATGCATTTTTCCCCCAAAGTTTTTGTTTGTTTGTGTGTGTGTGTGTTTGTTTCGTTCGGTTTTAAAGCTTAGTTCTTGGCACCTTGGCGCCCCGCGGCCGGCGCTGGAGCTTGAGAGGCTCGCAACCCCCTACCTCAAGCCGGACGAAGCTGCGTCGGCAGAGCTCTGGGTCTACACCGTGCGACCCGCATCTTGCTGCTGTCCTCGAATGACGGCGACTAGTTCACTCGCAAAGTTCTCTGTGCTGCCCCCCCCCCCCCGCAGCGGAGCACTCCAATGGCCAGCCCTGCCTGCCGCTGCCCGCGCCACTCTGCAGAGCGAAGTCTCTGAGCGCCCCACCGAGGCTGGTGGCTCCTCTAGGAAGGGACTGGGAGGGGTTAAAGCCTTTAACTCCTCGGCCCTCTGCCAGCGGCAGGGGGCCCCTCCGGGTCCAGGCTTCTGAGAAGCAGCCTCCAAGAAAGGTCTTCGGCGGAGTGACTAAAATAAAACAAAATGAATAGGAGCCCCTCCTCCGCAACCAGCAGAGAGGGGAGGGGGGAAGGGGGGCGGAGCCTTACAGCCCCTAAATTCTAGCTCACAAATCACGTCTCTCGCCTTCTACCCGCGGTCCCCAGGGCTGGTGAGGATTCAGAAACCAGAGATGGGGATCCGTTGAAAAACTTTTCTTCGTTAAAATCTTAGAGAGCGAGGAAGAGCCTGGTTCTCATAGAGGACCTTCCTGGTCCCGGATCCGTCAGCCCTGAGGATCCGAATGGCCCGAGTGGCCTGGTGCCCTAGGGGCCACTTCCATGAGGTCAGGGGAAAACCGAGCCGCCACGCCGCAGGGAGGAGATCCTGGAAAGGAACTGCGAGAAAGGCCCGAGGCGAGCAGCCCGAAGGCACCGAAATGCTTCTTTCCTCCTCCTCCCATCCTCCACTCCGATCCTAGACAAGCCTTGAAGTTTGCGGTCTGGTGGGCAGAAAGTGGCTTTCCCCGGGCGCACGATGAAGTGGGCCAGCGCCCGGCTTGGTGCTGGATGGGGGTTCCCCTCACTCAGCTGAGCGCAAAGCCAGGCGGTGTGCCCCAGATTCTGGGAAGCGCCGAGGCCTTGAGGAGGTGGGCTGCTAACCCCAACTTCAGAGATTTAAACAGTCCAGCAGCTCTAGAATTTCCACAGGGGAAAGGGCTACCTGGCTTTTTCACAGTCCAGCGCCTACCTCTGCCCAGCTGAGGCTGGCATCCCTTCCCTCTCTTTCTATCTGAGATATAACTAAGAGACGCCCCCCCAATCTAAAGAGTCACACCTCGCCCACATTTTCTCTTAGTAGATAACACTTAAGAGGTTAAGGCTGCAGAGGCCTTGGTTAGGTTTGTTTGAGTAGCAGGCTCGGGGCCTTTATGCCTTGCTCTGCTGTTAAAAAAGAGGTTCCACCCAAGTCCTCTGGTCACACTGCCTTCCCACCCTAAGCAGATGTGAATGCAAAACTTCCTCCCCTGTATAGTTTCAATTGACAGACACACCCTGTACCTGAATGACTCAAAAGAGGCTGAATGAATAAACAACAGACCCCTACCTTCTGGGATTTTATGAGCTTGCAAAAAAAAAAAAAAAAAAAAAAAAAGTAGCTGCTAAAGCACTCATTGACAGCCTTGTACAGTACGTAGTCGCGAACTACAGAACTTGCGAAACAACATGGAAACCAAGTTAACAGCCATCTAGTCTCCTCCGGAAAAGAATGAGTTTGAGTTTCATTTGCAAGACAAGACCATTCAAGTTAATCACAGCACAGCCCAGGCAAGGAGTTTAGGAGATCTCCAAGGGAAAATAGCATCTTGATGTCTCAAGATGTGATGGACACTGCTCTGCGAAGCAAGCGAGCACCGCGGACCATTCTAACCAGGATAGTTAGAGACGTGTAGATTGCCCAGAGCTGAGTCCACAATTCTAAGGTGCCTTGCCTGGTGGCTCCAATGCTGCCAATCAAAGACTTGAAATTTTCCAATTATTTTCCTGAACAGAGCAGACTCCCTCACTTACACTTTCCCAAGTTAGTCCTTCTGATTGTACTTGTCTTCGGATGTGCATAAAACGATTACTGAGGTGTTCAGTGTGAAGGAAGAAAGTCTGTATCAATGAGTAGCCCATGCTGCCCCACACTTCAGGTCATGCTAGCTCAGCTCTCAGGCATGGGCTGTCACACTCAGCAATATATCTGTATCATGAAACTGTATACAAACAGCCAGGCACAGTGGTGAGTGCCCATAGTCTCAGAATTTGTAGAGGCAAGAAGATAAGGAGTTCTTACTATATCTGCTATATAGTAAGATGAAGCCCACTTGGGATACTAGTCTCTCTCTCTCTCTCTCTCTCTCTCTCTCTCTCTCTCTCTCCTTACACACACACACACACACACACACACACACACACACAGGCTCTGGTATATTTCAGTGGTAGGCTGTTTCCTAGCATGTACAACATTCTGGGTTCTATTCCTAGTATAGCAAAAAGAAACTATAGGCTATGAGTGGTCACAAATGCCTATAATCGCAACATTCCAGAGGCAGGCAGGTATTTGAAGCCAGCCTGGTCTCCATAGCTAGTTCCAGGCTATATACTGAGACTCTGTCTCAAATGAAAAGGGGGGGGGCAGGGAGAGGGGTGGGAAGATATATATATTCCACAGTCAAGAGTTCTCTGAAGGAACAGAACTGATTGTGATCTGGCTCGTCCAACAATGGCTATCTTCTGACAGGCCAAGTCAGTAACCAAGAGTCCCTGAGGCTGAATGTCTCAGGGGTCCTAGTCTGGTTCAGGAGTCCTGGAGGATTACAAAAGAGCAGTTTGTCTCCAGTCTCATTTGAAATCCTGAAGACTAGGTTTTAATAGAGTGAAGAAATAACCTCCACAGCAGGACAGATGAACTTGTCAGCTAGAGGGCAAGCAGGCAAAAAGCAAAGGCTTTCTTCTTCCAGGTCCTTTTATTTGGACTGCCACCAGAAGGTGTGGCCCAAATTTGGTCCTGTCAAGAAATTTCCCAATAGGCATGCCCAGCTACCTGGGGCTTAGTTATTTCCTGACATCAAGAGAGAATAGAAATGTCAGTCTACAGTTAACTGTATAGCCAAGATTAGCTATCTCACATATAGTTATAGATCTATATAACCATAAATATTAGAAGTGTCTATAGCCCAGGATAGCCTCAAAATCCACTCATATCAGCCAAAGACGACCTCCGTTTCTGATCCTCCTGCTTCCACTTCCCAAGCATTAGTGTTATAGGGGTGTGCCACCACATCTGGCTTTATGTTGGAACAGTGCTGGGGATTGAACCCAGGGCTTAATGCATGTTAGGAAAAGACTCTACTAACTTAGCTACCTCCTAATGAATGCTAGCTGAAATTTCTCAGAGCCCATCTTATAGACCTAAGGAAAATTTTTACTTTTAGTAATTACATACCAGATTTTAAATGTCATATATGCATACATATGCATATATACATATACACAAATACATATATATCCCATTAATCCTTACAGCCTAATCACTACAAGTTAGGTACTGTTATCCTAATTTTACAAACAAGAAAAATGGGCTCCAGCTATACTAAGCATGTTGGTTAATGTGAGATATGACCATAAGCAAACTGTAGAATCACAACCACCACACCAAACCACTGAGATAAACCTCAAGTATATCAAAGAATTACTCGGGAGAAATCTTTTCTGCTGTACACACCACAGCTGAGCACAGCATGCAGCCTGACCCAGTGTTGTAAAGAACACAGTTATTTTGCTGATAGTGACTTGGTAACAGTCACTGTTATCATATACCTCTGGGGTATAGAATATATACAACTGATGAGCAAATGAGAAAGTCCAGCCACTGTTCCCAGTCACAGCTTTCTAGTGGATTCCAGGACTCGAGGCACACACCCTTCAAGACCCATACTACCGAAGATATCGCTAAGAACTATGCCCTCCAGCTATTTCCTGGCTTGCAGTCTAGCCCCTTTTCTTCCCAGAAGCCACGCCCTGTGTTCCTACCTTACCATTCCACTCCAACGCTGCCAATCTGCAATGTCCCATTCCCATTAAAGTGGCACTACTTCAGGGTTCTGATTTCAAAGCAGCTTCCCTATCCTTCAGGTTTTTTCCTTAGGAGTTGTCAGATAAAATAGTACTTGCTCTTCAAGCTATACAGTTCATATAAGTAACTAAATACTTGTTCATCTGGAACTCAAATGTAATGCAGTA